GGAAAGAAAACAAGTAAATCTTCATCCAAAAAAGGAAACAGTTTAAGAAGAACTTTAACTCCTACCACAAAAAAGCAATATCAGAGGGGCCTAGCTCAAACTGTGACTTTAGAAGAAGTTCACCTAATTGTTAAAAGATGTGCTGATAAAGTACGTGAAAGAGGTTAGTTAAGTTCTTTATTTTTATTCATTTATGTTTTATTAACAATTATTTATTTATTTATATAAACGACAACTTTTTACATTCTTATCATAAAGGTTTACATGTTGTGGATATATTTAAGCCGATGCACATTGGCGATAACGCCAATGATGTCAGAAGACTTATAGGTTGTTTATTACGTGAAACTCGCGCACAATGTGATGAAGAACTCGGAAAATTGGATATTCATATTATAGTCTCTGCTATGAAATGGGCTTTAAGACATTGTGTTACAACTATTGTCCCATATCAATTCTACGAAGAATTTGTAATATTTGAACAAGGTAATTATAATAATAATAAAATAATACACGAAGGTCATATAAATATAAACTGTAAAATATTAAATATTAATAAATTAATAAATTTCTTTTTTTAATTATAGAATCTGATTTTGATCCAGATAAAGGTTCATTCAAACAATTTCTACGCTATCTACCAAATCAAAACAGAGATATACTTGTTGAACTATTTGATATTTGTGCACAGGTAACTGCTGAATCACACATAAACAATATGCCAGTTGAACGCTTAGTTAAGACATTGGCCCTTTGTATTCTGGGTGATAAAGATAAACCACTTGAAGGTTTTGAAGGAGCCTATAACGAGTGGACAAAATGCTCTCAAGCTTGTCTACACTTATTCCTGGCTTATCTTCGTGAGAAAGCTGTCACTACCGAATTAAACCCACGTCTCACTATCTTGATAGACAATTATGTTGAATATAGAAAAAAATCTGTTACATCCGTGTACTTTAAAGCTTCTAATAGTAATGATAGAGATGATGGCAATGATGATAACAATATACAACAACCAGAAACTTCGAACAAT